GCAGCTGGACGTGCAGAGCATAGAGATTAGCTTTTGGAAGCAGCTGCCAGGTCCTTAACTAGAGGCATGAGCGTCAGGACCTGGCTTAGGGGCCATCTTGGCACTGAAATGCTGAGCCCTGGGTGCCCTGCCACTGTGCCTCAGTGGGCATGCAGTCTCCCTTCTCCCTCAGGCCCACTGTACCTCCCAAGGTGGATTCTCCTTGCCCCTCTCTGGTGAGACAAGTCTTCCCGGATGCTCCACTGTGGACTCATTGGGTCAGGGATGGAACTGAGTGGCCAGTGAAGCAGGAGAGGCAGGGCCTGGCTCCAGAGCCATGGTGGGGTGGGAGTGAGGTCACAGATGCTGCCAGCCCTGGATGAGAAAAGCGTCCTGTGTCTGAACAACAGAGCACCCACGTGAAAATGGGAAAATATCACTTGTCTTTTTCTTTTTTTAACATTTTGATGATTAACCTTTTGAAGACCTTGATCTCTAGGATTTTTGGAGTAGTAACTTGACCTTGTTTGTAAGATATTAACAACTTCACATTCCTCCTTCAGTAGTACTTTGTGACCTGTTACCCAGGTGTTAGCTGGGGGCCTTTCTTCCCCTTGAAGCCTGGGTGAAATTGTCTTGAATCCACTAATTCATGGCCTGTGCAACTCCAAACCCCTCCCACTCTCCTGGGGAGTGATAGTCTTTAGGCTTCTTCTGCCTCTTGGGCTGCATCCAAAAATCACTCATACCAGCATCTGTGAGTTTAGTAGCTGTTAGTGAAGTATGCGTGTAGGCGAGGTCAGGAAGGGGTCATACGTCTCCCAGCCCAGCAGCCTATGACCCCCTGGGCTCCTGCAGGAGTCCCACATTCCACTCCCTCCACCATGCAGAGCAGCCTCCCTCCTCAGAGGCCTGACAGCCAACACTCGGCAAACGGATTTTCCAATTCCTCTCTTTGAAAGGAATTTTGATCCCAATTGTAAAGATAATAGAGTTTTCTTTACCTTTTTATAGACATAATTTGCTTTTAAAATAAAAATTTATTTCAAGTTCATTTTGAAGAATTTCCTAGCAGTCCTTAAAATAAATCAGCATCTAATGGTGCTGCAGAAACAGGATGAGGAGTCATGGGGTGCAGACAAGACCCTGATATCTGTGGTTTATGTTTTCCAGTTTCCACCTGGATGTGTGAAATCCTGTTCATGTGGTTGGCGTCCCTGAGAGCAGAGCGGGGTGCACAGGCCGAGCACTGAGAAGACGCAGCCTGAGACAAGGCTGATCCAGCCTCCCGGTAATCAGTTGGTAGTTTTGGGTGGTGATGGGGGGTGAGGCACACTTTTTGGTTGGGTCCATCTCACCAGGATGAGCTTTCAGACACCCCGATCATTGCTATGAACCCCCCAATCCTGCTGACCCCAGAGCTAACATGGAATGTGAAGGACCTTAGAGGTCCAGCCCTCCTTAGAGTCCAGCCCTCCAGCAGGGGCAGAAGCCCCTCTACAGCCTCCTGTAGTCACCCTGACTCCGAGGAGAGAGCTCACCACCTGACAAGGCGGCCTGTCCTGTCTTTCCCTTACTGAGCAGCTCCTGCTGGTGGAAAGTTCTCCCTCGCACCCTCAGCTAAAATCTGCCTTCCTAGTTCTGGCCCTTGAGGCTCTAAGGAGTCAGCCTAATCCCTCTTCCATGTGGCAGCCCCAGAGACATGTGGGACATTGGAGTGGAGGAGTGCAGGATGTGGAGCCGGGGACACTCCTGGTTGAAACACCGACTCCACGGTTAGCTGTGTGATATTGGGCAAGTTAGTTAACCTCTCTGTGATTCAGTTTCTTTATCTGTAAAACCGGGACGATAATGTCTGCCTCAGGGAGTGGTCCTGGGAATGAAAGTAAATCATGAATAGAAGTTGCCTGGTGCTGTTCCATCACCAATTCTCTGACACCGACTGGGTGTCCTGCAATCCAGCTCAATTCTGACACTGCCCCGAGTTAAAGGGCACACAAGTTAACTGCCACAAGTCAGAGGGCCAGGTTGCCGACCAGACTGCCCCCACTTCAGATGCCAGCTACAAATGGGGTCCCTGGGTCACCCGCACTTCTGACTGACTTGGCTATACATTTGGGGATTCCCATACCCCCCCTAGTTTCTATAATTCACTAGAATGACTCAGAACTGATGGCACTGTAATTGCGATTACAGTTTTATTATAAAGGATCCAACTCAGGAACAGCCAAACGGAAGCAATGCGTAGGGCTGCGGTGGGGAGGTGGGGGATTGGCGCAGAGCTTCCATGCCCCCTCCATGCCCCTAGAATCCAGGCGCTGTCACCATCCCAGCACGGCAATGTGCTTACCAACCAGGAAGTTCCCCCAGCTCTCAGTGTCCAGAGATTTTTAATGGGAGGGGGCACCATTGGGGAGGGGGGCTTTATTACTAGGCATAATGGTTTAAATCATCTGCCACTTGATTGAACTCAATCTCCAGCCCCTCCCCCTCCCATCCTCCGCATTGGAGGTTGAAGTTCCAGCCCTCTAATCATGTGCCTGGTCTTTCTTGGTGGCCAGTCCCTCTCTTGAAATATCTGAGGGCCCACCCTAAGTCACTTCATTAGCATAAACTCAGGTTTGGTGAAAGGAGCTTATTATGAATAACAAAAGACACTCCTAATGTCTTTTAGACATTTTAGAAATCCCAAAGGTTTTGAAGCTCTGCACCAGGAACCAGGGACAAAGGCCAGATACATTCTTTATGATGTCACACCGGGCCCACGAATGCTGGCCTCTCTGATCTTCCTCTTCTTGCTTACTCTCTTTTCTGTGATCTGCAGGTTGACATGTTCCCACTGTCTGGTCAGAGAACTAGGCATTCTCATCAGTCTTTTTCTGGATGTTCTTCGTTTTGTTAATATAGCTCAAGATTGAATTAGGTTTTTGGACTAAAACATATAATTACAGTTATTTAGTGTGCACCTGTTTATGATTGCATCATAAGCCTCTCATGACTCGAGTTCCTAATGCCACGATGATTCTAGCCCCTAATGACACATAATAAGAGCAAATGCAGACTAGCACTTGCTATGCACCAGGCACTATTTTAAGTACTTCACATATATTAACTCATCTGATCTTTGCGACAACCTAATTCCCTCATTTTATATATGGGGAAACTGAGGCAGAGAGCGGTTAGGTAACTTGCCCAATAACTCACAGCTAATAAGTGGCATAGTTGAGATTCAGACTCACTGTCTTGTTCCAGAGTCCATGCTTTTAACCCCTAAGCTGGGCTACACACAACTTTGATCACCTGTGAAGCATTTTGGGCAGGGAAGGAAGGAAACAAATGGATGCCTCTGGTTCACAGAGCCAAAGGGTTTGCCCAGGCCCCTGTTGTCATGGTGAGGGAGTCAGGGCTACCCCACCCCTCCTGGAGCACCTCTGGAGCAGCCCTCTGGGCTGGGCTCTAAGAAGTGAAGGCAGGCCTGGGGGCATGGTGGTGTACGCTCCTGTCCATCAGGCCCAGACCTTCTCCCTCCTGCTTCAGGGTGGGGAGAGCTACTTCAGAGCCTTCACATACCTGTTGCTGGGAAATGCAGCCACTCCAAGGGGAAGGGGAGAGATTCAACCTTTTCCTGCCTGAATGGAAAGGATTTAGGCCAGGAAGGCTCAGGACCAGGCTCTGCTGGCTCAGATGATCCTAGTCCCAGAGAAGCTGAGAGTTCAGGTGCTTTTGGAGCTGGTTGGACCAGAGTTGTAAGGAACGCTGGGAGCTCATCCCCATGTTCACATCCAATGTACTCACTGGGGGCATTGCTTGTTGCTGTTTTTAAAATAACATCAAAGATTTGGAGCTGTGAAAGCGCCAAAGAGAATTAAAAGGGGTAGGGTGCAGTGGAGCAATGCATCTGGAAGAAGTTTGGTCTGTAGCACTGTCTGCCTTGGAGAATCTGGGTGGTGACTACATGTTTGCATGGCTCCAATGCATTCCCGTTGTGTTTGACCTTACAATCCTTGTTACTCCCCAAGTTTCAGGGATGAGGCTGTCTGGGAGCATGATGAAGGTGAAGTATTCTTAACCCACTCCATGCACATGGGATTGACTAGGCAACTGTCAGTTGGTCACGTGTGTTCTGTGCAGATGGTTCTCTTTTGGCATTCGGCATAAAGAAGAGACCCTGGGGGAGAGGGGATGCAAGAAGGAGGTCTCTTGCTCCAGGAAACCTAGATCCTCCATCCTGCTGTCTTTTCTACGTGTATCTGTCTCTCTCCATAGTGTCAGAACTGGAAAGGGCCCCGGAAGTCATTCTGTTCACTCCCTCATTTAGAGATGGACCAAGTGAGACCCAAAGAGAGAAATTACTTGCCCAAGTCCACGCAGCTAGAGAATGCTGAATTGGGGCAACATTGCAGGCTCTGACTTCTAGTCCAGAACTTATTCCAGCAGAAACATCCCTGATGGACACAATCACTCTTTCTCCACTTAGATGAAGAATCTGGCTTAAATGCTACTAAGTACATACTCAACAATTCCAGCAACCTGCCAAATCTGTTTCAAAACCTTTCTTTAGAGAATTTTGTTTTGGCTGCCACTGCCAGAAGTCTCCCTCCTCCGTACCCCATCCCTTGCAGCCAAATGTCTCATCTACACAACTGGTAGGCATGGTGCCGGTTGGGGAGATTTGACGAGTGTATTCTTAAGGAGAAGACTAATTAGTGAAAGAATTAAAATCAAAGGTCACGGTTTGGCAACCTTACAAAAGCAGGTAGTGATGACATTTGGAGGACTCTTGCCGTCCCGGGTTAAGTGCATGGTGGCAGGTGATGGTTGGAGTGGGAGGAGGGTCCTGGACAGCCATGGGAAGTAGCACCTGGCACTAATGATAGAACATGAGGCTTTGTGCCATCTTTGGCAGGCTTGCTAGAAATGGCCGACACCTGGAATAGACACCTTCCATTACATGTTACAGCCATTAACACCTAGTCAGTGGTATTTCAACCCTAGCTACCCATCACACTCATCCAGGGAGCTTTTAAAAATCCGGACGTCCAGGTCACACCCCAGACTAATAACATTAAAATCTCTGATTTCTTTAGTTTTTAAACTTCCCCAGGTGATTCTAATGTGCACCCAAGGTTGAAAACCCTGCTCTAGGCCAAGGGTTCAGGCCATCAGCCAACCCTTGAGGGACCCTGTCCATGTGCCTTCCCTTGAACTTGCTATTGGCCCTTCCCCAAAGGAGAAGAATGCAAAAGGAAAGAAAAGTCACCTGACTGTTCTGGGCTGATGGGTGGACTCCCACTCCTCCTCTACCTAGTGCATCATCCCCACCCCACCTCCCCCCCACCCCGCCCTCCTGGGCGAGGAACTGTAAGGTGGAGGGTAGGGTCCTGACAGAAGGTGGAAGAGGAGGTCACAGACAACTCACCGACAAGGAGAGGATGCTTTACGGGCTGTCAGGAAGGCCTCTCGTGGTGAGCTGCTGGCTGGAAGGAAGGCTAGAGCTTGGGCTGACAGGATCAGCCGAGGGGAAGAACAGATCAGGACCAAGGAGACCAGGAGCGCTCTGAGAGAACAAGAGAGCACCTCCACCCCTCGTGGAAAGGGAACCCATGGAGGTAAAGTGAGGGACGGGCAGGTCAAGGATGAAAGCCAGGTGTCCTGATCCCATGTAATGCTCTTTTCTTGGTATCTCCCTACTCTGTTCAGAAGCTAATTATCGTCCACTTGAGGCACTTGGCTTCTTTTGCTGTGAAGGGGATCAGCCAAGAGGGAGAAGGGTACAGCTCGTAAGGCCACCCTGGGTGTCAAAGGGGCATAACCCAGATGTGAGGGCCTAGCAGTGCTGACACCCAAAGGGAGACTGGTGTGGCCCAAGCCCCACAGCTGGTTAGGGGAGGCTGAACTGTAGCCTGCTTCTTCGGAAGGGCTCCAATATGGCAATAGAGGACATTCCTTCTTTCATCATCCAGGCACTAACAAAGCATGCTTGAGTAGAAAAACTATGGCTTTTCCCCAGGCCAACTCTCCAAAAGCTGCCCCAGTCCTCACTCCAGGGACCAGGTCTAGATAGTGGGACTCTGGGCAGCCTGGCGATGTGGTGCCCTTCAATCAGTGTTTATTCTTTTACTATTTCTCAGTATTCATTTCGTGGGGTTTGGGAGAAATTAATTTTCCCTTAATAAAAATTTCACACCTCTTTTAAACTTGGCGTAAGAACCTGATTCTGCATTGAAACACGTTTTACAGAAACGGATTCACCAATACTTCTTTTCCAGCGGCCAGAGCAAAGTCAAAGTTGTGCAGAAAAGCACTGTGTAAAGCATTTCCCACATTTTAGTAGATCCTGTTCTCTTTTCAGTTTTCTTTTGTGAATTTCCCACCACATTTTTTAGGAGGCTTGTTAGAGGGTTTACATTTAAGATGAAATACTAATTCCCAATAGTTTTACACTATGTAGATATGCATCACAGAAATGCTCAAAAAGGTCTTCAGGTCATGCTTGCACAGGGGGAACTGTCTACTCCACTGGAGTCGGGAAGTTTAAGGCTGGCGGGTTAGTCAGGGAAGGGTGGTGGACCCGAGTCTAGTCGGATGGTGCACTAGCGCCCCCTATAGATCGGTAGGTGCCGGTTCCCTGCCCTCCATCCTGCGGCTCCGCTTACGCTCTCCAGGGAAGAGCGGCATCCCGCTGTGAAGCCAGCCCCTCTGCTTTAGGAAGCGTGCACTCCGATTGGGAGCACCAACCCGTTCGCTCCCCCTCTTCCTTTCCCTGTAGGGTTCCAGGAGTGGATAGTAAACCTACCAGGAAAATGAGTGAAGAGACTGTCCCCGAGGCTGCCTCCCCGCCGCCCCCGCAGGGGCAGCAGTACTTCGACCGCTTTTCTGAAGACGACCCTGAGTACATGCGCCTTCGCAACCGTGCAGCGGACCTGCGGCAGGACTTCAACCTGATGGAGCAGAAGAAGCGCGTGACCATGATCCTGCAGAGCCCTGTGAGCGGCGTCTGAGCCAGGCGGGGCGGGAGAGGAGGCAGGAGGCAGGAGGCGGGGAGGGGAGGGGGCGGCGCTGACTCATTCGGGAGAACCTGAAAGATAAATAACTCCTCTTCCACTTGCTCAGGGTCGTAGCAATTTTAAGCCCGATGAGTAAGATGCGTCTGGCAACGTGGGTGTTTGATTCTCTCCCTCATCACTGGTGCATGGCAAAATGTGGCTTATGTACGGCGGTTGGGCTCGGTGGTGGGAGGAGGTGGGGCTGAGAGACAGGAGCCCCCTCAGTTCCCTGTGCCCCTTCTGAGCCTCAGTTTCCAGTCTTCCCTTCCCTCTTCACCAAAAGTTGTAACAATGAACAGACAAATTGGTGTAAAATGGAGGCCAGCAGGGGGCGCCACGTGGAAGGTTTGGGGCTCCCCTTTATGAACACCACAAAGAGCTCACTGTCGGGGCAAATAAGGCTTTGCCATGCATGGGGCAGGGGTGAAGATGGCCTGGAAGCCCCAGGAAGTGGGGAGAGTGTAGGGTTCGGGGGTCAATGGGACAGGGGCCAGAGTCCCTTGAGAGGGCAAGACAGGATCACCCCACCAAGGCTCCAGACTTGAGGTCAGTTGGTGCCTGCCTGGCGTGGTCACAGAGTTTATTCTTGAGGCAAATGGTGCATTGAGAAGGAGGGAGTGTGGCCTAATGGACCAGTGAAGTAGGAGCGTGATGCAGGCCTTTGCTGGGGGGTGTGGGGTAGGAAGAGCAGTGTGGAAGGAGGCAAGGGGTAGTCTGAGGGCCGTAGAGCTGGGAGGTCCTCAGGAAACAGTGCATGCTCCTAAGGGTTGGGAAGCCCAGGAAGGAGCTGGCATCTCCAGGTGCTTGCCAGGATGGGCTCTGCCTCAGCCCCCACTAGGCTTTGGGGAGCCAGGGCATGTACATGGGCTGTGTGTGAGCCTGGTTGAGAGCAGACAGTGAATGCTCAGGCCTCCCAGAGGAGCGCTGACGGGGTGGGCTTGAGGTCTTGGTGACAGGTGACACTGTGTGGGGGAGCCTGGAGGAATATGGCAAGTGCTAAAACCATTGGGATGATGGAAAACCCCCAGTGTGACTAGGAGGGATGGCAGGGGTGGTAGGAGAAGTGGCAGAGTTGGTACTAACCCAAGTTTCGGGGCCTGAATGGGTGGGACTCTATTCTCAGGCAGAAGATGGGGACACCTAAGTGGCTCCGTTTCCTCCTGAGTGTTCCTTGCTGCCACCTGGTGGACAGGCATGCCTGATTTATGGCCTGATGGTGTGAAAAGCCAGGCTTAGAGTCGTAGGACATCTGAAGTGGAAATGACCGGAGAGGTCATCAAATCTTTCTGTATAATGGAGAAACTGAGGCCCAGAAGAGCCATAGGCATGGCTAATGGACAGGGAAGGTCACATTTTTTTCATTCAGTTCTGCTTTTCACAACGTCTCAATTACTAAAGTGAAGACCTGCCATGTCTGATGGGGAGGAGGGGTCTTGGCTGTCACTTAGACCCAGGAAGGACCTGGAATCTGGATTACTGCCCACATGGCAAAGGGAACAGGATACATTCCCAGCATTTCCTTGTTCCTCTCCACGCAGCAGTTGATGTGGCTCCTGAGGTCCCAGTGGAATTGCCCAGTGTCCTCTGGGGCCCAAGGATCCCAAGTGGGGCCCTGGCCTGACCCAGGGGTTGGGGATGGACACTTGGAAGAGTTTATCAGTCGGCAGCTGGGGTCAAGGTGCCCTGGGTCACCCACATGAGACACACTGGGGGGACCAATGCCTCGGGCCTGCTTCAGTCTTTCAGGGAGGAGCTGGAAGGCCTCATCCAGGAGCAGATGAAGAAAGGGAACAACTCCTCCAACATCTGGGCCCTGCGGCAGATCGCGGACTTCATGGCCAGCACCTCCCACGCAGTCTTCCCAACATCTTCCATGAGTATGTGGGGAGCTGGGGAGGTGCCAGGAGCAGAGGTGGAGGAAGACGGGTGGGGAAGAGAGGAAGGAGCAGGAAGAAGCAGCTTGGTTGCCGGGCTACGGAGTGAGTGGTACAGTTGCGTTAGCAGACCTAGGGGAGCTGAGCAGCAGCCAGAGGTACCTGGCTCTGCTTCTGTGCTGCTGCGATTTCAAGACCCACAGGAGAATTCTCTCTGATGCCCGGAAATAGGAGGAGTGGGTGCTGACTTAAGGCAAAACCTGTTTCTGGTTCTGCTGGGGGAGGGGGCAGGATAACAAGGTGTCAGTGCTCTGAGGGGCAGGGCAGCCTATGTGTGACCTCCCCACCCCCACCCCTCATAAGTGGATTAGCATAAAGGGAAGAGCTTTGCAACTCAAGGTCCCTCACATGGCTTCTGCTTGAAAGGCCAGGAGTGGAGAGTGAGAATTCCCCTCCCTGTTACTCTAGCTATGGGTACAGAACCTCAGAAAAATCCTGGCGTCCTAGCAGCATCTGGCCCTGACTCAGGCTGCTCTCTCCTCAATCCCCTGAGCCACTCCCTTGGAGATGGAGTAGGGGGACAGAAGGAGGCCATTGAAGCCAGTGTCTCCCTACTCCACGAGACAGGCCATCCTACTTCATAGATGAGGGCCGAGAGCAGCCAGGGCGAGTCATGAACCCGTCTTCCTGGGCCCCAAGTCTTTGCCCACAACCTTTAAGAAACAAACATCGAAAAATAATTCCCCTCAACAAGATGAACACAGGATTATGGTTGAAAATTAAGAAAACAGTCAAGAAAGGGAAATAAAAATTTCCCTTTCTTGATTACTGTGTTCTTACAACCAAGAAATTACTATTATCAATATTTTGCTGTATATCCTTCCAGCCTTTTACTCTTAAATACAGATTATGCGCACAAAAATGGAATCACATTATACGGACAAATTTAATAGCCTTAACATATCTTGACTAATTTTTCACATAATAAAACACAGTTCTATAATATAATTTTTGGTGGAAGTATGCTATTCTATGGCATGGCTGAATATGCCATAGTTTATTTAATCAATTTCCCGTTTTTAGACTTTTAGGTTGTTTCCAACTTTTTGCTGTTATGAACGACAATGCAATAAACATCCTTGTAAATAAGTCTGTGATTATATCCATCACCATTTACTTAAGATAAATTACTAGAAGTAGAATTACTGGATTGAAGTATATGCGTGTTTTAAAGACTTGAATGCGTAATGCCAAATGTCCCTGGACAAAGATGAACCAATTTACATTCCTACCAGCAGTGCAGTCGAGTGCCCATTTCCTTCCTCTGTAGTATGTATTACCATTCATTTCATCCTTTTGATTTGATAGGTGAGAAATAGTACTTTATTTATGTTTTCGCATGCATTTATTTGATTACTAATGAGGTTGGATATATTTTCACATACATATTGGCGTGATTTTTTTTTGTAGTAAGTTGCCTGTCACATCCTTTGCCAATTTTCCTTCTTGTGTATTCTTTTCTGATAGATTTTCAAATCTTTATAAAGTAAGGCTATTTCCCTGCTCTGTCAAATATATTACAGTTTTCTTCCCCCGTCTCCTTTGACTTTTAATTTTGTTCAGGATGTTTTTGTGTTGTAGAATTCTTTGACTTCCATATAGTTGAATCCATTGTTATTTTCCCTTGTGTGTTCTGCTTTTGATTGCATGCTTAGAAACACCTTCCCCATGTTTTATCATCTAAGATGCCCTTAATTATTCATCTGCCAATTTTTATAGTATTTGTACAAGTTTATTCTTTAAAATAACTTTAGAAGTATTTTGTCAAGTCTCCCCATCTACCTCCAAAAATTCCTTTTAGGATTTTTATTGGGATGACATTAAATGAATAGATTAATTTGGTGGAGAATTTATAAATTTATAATTTTGTATTAGAATGTTAGCTCCACCTGGGAAAGGGTATTTATATGTTTTGTTCCTTGCTATATCCTGGAATAGTGTCCTGGACTTAGAAAAGTGTCTGGCACATAGTAGGTGCTTAAAAAATATTTGCATGAATGAATTTTAAATCTTTTTAGAAATGATGTGTGTCTTCTATTTAAGTCTTTAAGGTCCATCAGAAAAGTGAGTAGTTATTTTCATATAGTCCCTACTAATTTCTTAAGTTTATCCTGGAAATTTTATATAACTTTGTTATTTTAAGTGATTCTTATTCAATTTTCTGTCTGGTTATAGCTGTCATCTTGGGAAACTTGTTGGATATATGTATTTATTTATTTATTTATTTGTTGTTTTTTTTTGTGAGGAAGATCAATCAGCCCTGAGCTAACATCCATGCCAATCCTCTTCTTTTTGCTGAGGAAGTCTGGCCCTGGGCTAACATCCGTGCCCATCTTCCTCCACTTTATATGGGACACCGCCACAGCATGGCCTGACAAATGGTGTGTCGGTGTGCGCTTGGGATCTGGGCCCGGCCGCCAGCAGTGGAGCGCACATACTTAACCGCTACGCGACGAGGCCGGCCCGCTGGATATATGTATTTACAGTAGCCCCTTATTGAACTCTTAAATTCTAATATCTTCTCAGTTAATTCTTTTGGGTTTTTATATAGAAACATCACATAATCTGCAAATAATCGTCATCCTTTGCATCCTTTATTCCAACATTTACCCTTTGGTTTATTTTTCCAGTTTTCTCATTGCATCTGTTAGAACTCTCAGAACAATGTTTAATAATAGATTAGAGAGTCATCATCCTTGTCTTGTTTCTGACTTTAATGGAAATTGTTTTACCGCAAGAGATAGTTATCCTTTGTCATGTTGAGGAAATATCTTTTTATTCTAGTTCAGTATGAGTTTTTCTCAGAAATGGATGTTGAATTTTATAAAATGCATTTGGGGCACTTATTGATTTTTCTTTCCTTGAACTATTGATATGATGAATTATATTAATAGATTTCTGAATATTGAACTCTTCTTTCATTCCTGAAATAAATCATTCCTAGTTTTGATGCATTCTTTTAAAAATACTCTTCTGGATTTGATTTGCTAGACTTTTATTAAGGATTTTTACATCCATATTCACACATGAGATTGGTCAGCAGTTCACTTTTTGGGAAGACTTCTTTTAGTATTGGTATTGAGGCTTTAATTTCATAGGATGAATCAGGGTGATTCCCACGCTTTTCTTTGCCCTGATGGAGTTTAAATAAGATAGGAAGTGTCTGTTCCTTAAAGATTTATTATTCACTTGTAAAGCCATCCAGATCTGGAACATTTTTGATAATTTTATTTTTTTTCTCAGTTTCATCTAGGGTTCTTTAAAAATTTACTTTGCTGTTTCTTGAGTATATTTTGGTCATATATTTTATTTTTTTATTTTTTATTTTTTGAGGAAGATTGGCCCTGAGCTAACATCTGTTGCCCATCTTCCTCCTTTTTTCCCTTTTGTCTCCCCAAAGCCCCAGTAGATAGTTGTATGTCATAGTTGCACATCCTTCTAGCTGCTTTATGTGGGACGCCGCCTCAGCATGGCTTGATGAGCGGTGCATAGGTCCGCGCCCAGGATCTGAACTGGCGAACCCCGGGCTGCCGAAGGGGAGCACGTGAACTTAACTGCTACACCACCGGGCTGGCCCCTGGTCATGTATTTTATATAAAATAATCCATTTCATGGAGCTTTTCAAAATTATTGGAATGATTTACAGTATTACTTTTGTCATTTAAGTTCCTGCTGTGGATGAGATAGCATCCCCTTCTCATTCCTGGGGCTGTATATTCCCACTTTCTCTTCATTGGCTGATCCAGGTGTTGGTTTATTCATACATCTTCTCACAGAAGCCAATTCTTGGATTTACATATTGGTTCCACTAATTTCCTTGTTTCCCAATTCATTAATTTTGTTTTTATATTAATTAATTCTTTTCTGTAACTTTTCTTTGGTTTATTTTGTTCTTTATGTTTGTTCTAGAAGAGAGTAAAATGGATTTGGCTTATTTTCATATTTAATTCAATATTGAAGTCATTTAAGGCTATGAATTTTTTCTCTGAGTATAAATTTGGTCTTATCCCATGAATTTTGACACATAGTATTTCTTTTATTGTTAATTTCTAGATAGCTGGCAGTTGCTATTTTGGTTTATTTTTATTCTAAGAGCTATCTGGGAGTGTGTTTTCTCATTTCCAAGTGGTTGAATTTGTATTCTTTCAAAGACTTGTTGATAATATCTAGTTTTATTGCATTATGTTTAGAAAATGTGGCCTATTTAATGTCTGCGTTGGGGATTTATTGAGATTTTCTTTGTGGCCTAATAATATCATTTTTAAATGATATGTGGGTAGAGATACTATCTCTAGGGCATAGTATTTAATCTCTATCTTCATTTATTGTTTTTGATTTTGTAAAAAATGAGAGTTAAGTCTCCCACTGTATTTGACTTCTGTTCATTCTCTCTGTATTTCTGAAAGCTTTTGCTTTGTACATCTTGAAGAAATGTTATTCAAAGCAAAAGTGTTCTTTATAACTATAGCTTCATTATGGGTTATGCCTTTAATCCATATAAAATGACCTACAAAATGGCCCTGTTTGTCCAAAAAAATATTGTTTTTCCTGACTTCTACTTTAGTAATATTATGGCTGCTGTTTATTTTTTGTTTATATTGGCCTGGCATACTTTTGATGATCCTTTTATTTTTACCTGTTTTGTGTCACTTTCGAGTTTGTTTTTTTAAACCTCCTATGGCATTGTCTTTTGACATCTGTTGCTGTAGCAGAGAAATCTGAAACAGCCTATTTTTTGTTACTTTGTAAGTAACCACATTTTTTTTCTAGATGCTGGTGGATTTCCCCACTTATCCTTGTATTTTAGAAATGTTGTCAGGAAACACGTCATTGTAGGTTTTTCTTTTTATGGACTTTTACCCCTTAATGTAGTAGGTCCTTACAGTTTTTATACACAGGTGTTTTTTTCAGTTCAGAAATTTTTTCTTCTAGTATATCAATACTGATTATCTATATCTATATCTATATCTCTGGTCTTTGTCTCCCATACCTATGATATTCTTTCTCATCATTTTCATGTCTCTGACCCTATACTCTTCCTTTTGAGAGAGAAACAGGGCTGACCAGCATTCCCACTGCCTCGCCAAGCAGCCTCTGTCAGGAAGACAGTTGGATGCCTGAAAATCTGATTCATGCGCGTCCAGGGTATCTGAGTCAGGGAGTGTGGAGAGGGGAAATTCCAAGTGTCGTAAGTTCAAGCCCAGATAGGTTGTTTTTTGTCCAGTTCCATTTGCCTTAGTTTTTTTTTTTTGCAATAGCATGTCCTTCAGTCTTAGCTTTTAGGGGGTTCAGTAAGTTTTCATCTTTTTCTGTGTTTTCTTAGGTACGGCTCAGTTAGATCTGAGTCACAAACCTGGCGTTCAGCCATCCTAACTTTTGTGAGGCTAGTCAGAATAAGCATTCTTTCTATTAAGACCCTGAGAGCAGGGGACTCCTGTGGTACCCTCTAGTCTCTTCTCCCACCTTGGGCCTGTGGGTGAGTAATCCTCACCAGGAAGCTCCATGGGGTGGGGGAGGGGACTCTTTGATACAGGACACGGAGAACATGACGGAGTGAGTGTTTTCAGACCTATTCTGGCCATCAGTAGGACTCCAAAGTTATTTGTAAGAGGACTCAGAGAACTCTGGGTCTGAAGACCCTCTCAACAATAGCACCACCCCCCTCCACTTTGCCTAGGGACCTTATGCTTTGATGTGCCTCCCTTCTTGCTTCCAGGGGTGAAGCAAAGAAGTAATTTCTTGTCTGGGTAATGCACGGAGAGGAGGAAGGGATCCCAGACTCGTCAACTGGAACTAGAAATCCTTGAGTTTGGAATGTCATTGTTGCACTTCTTGCCAGTTCAGCTGGGCCTTTGAACTACTCTGTCCCTGTCAACTACATTTCCTGGACATATGCCCTGGAAGTGTACCACCTCTGGTGGGCACAGGTGCTTTCGGTGCATTTTCCTGACAGGGGGTGTTTGAGGCTTGCTCTGCAGCACCCATCCACCCTCACATTCGCAGACAATCTCATGATTTCAACTAATGGCAAAGCTGATACAGGACATACATCATACTGTGTAGCAGCGAGATTTATAGAGATGGTGGAAGCTTCCGAAGAGCATTTTAATCCATTAAAGTTTTCAGTGGGATGCTGGGAAAGGCAGCATCAGGAGGCTCCCAGCCAGATATCATTTTAAGCCAGAACCCTTTCCTATTGATTCTTTTATTGGTTCCTAGACACTGACTAATTGGAGTGCTGGGCCTCAGACCCCCTCTTCTGCCTTCCTGAGGCGTGCAGGCAGCAGTCATCATGGTTAATGGGACAGACTGGACGTCAGCTCCTAGACCCTTTGGTGCCCTGAGAACAAGACTACCAAACTCTCTAGGCCCCTTTCCATATCCCTTCTATATCTTCTCAAAATTCCCGGAAAGAACCATAGGTAACCAAGGGACCGCATATCCAGAGGGGAACAGATGTTGCCCCTGAGGCCTCAAGGCCGTCAGCCAACCACAGGCACACTGACTTCTGGAAGTTTATGAATTGTCAGGAAAAGTTAGGAATTTACTTCCCTGGCTGACTTGGCTTTCTATTTGCCCTGTTTCCAAATCAGAGAAAAAGCTATGTTACATGGTATAGTTAAAACAATGTGATGATAGCAGACCTAATAATTAGAAACTTCTTCATTAAAACTAACTGATGGGGCTGGACCAGTGTTGTAGTGGTTAAGTGCGTGTGCTCCGCTGCGGTGGCCCGGAGTTCGCAGGTTCGGATCCTGGGCGAGCACCGACTCACCGCTTGTCAAGCTATGCTGTGGCGGTGTCCCATATAAAGTAGAGGAAGACAGGCACGGATGTTAGTCCAGAGCCCAGTGTATGGGGCACTGCATTTGGGGCCTCCACAAAAATCTTCCTCAGCAAAAAGAGGAGGATTAGCAACAGATGTTAGCTCAGGGCTAACCTCCCTCACACACACACACACAAAAACTAACTGATGAAGTGTACCCATATCTCCACTCAGCAAGTTATTCTTGCTTTAACTCCATGTCCATCTTTAGGATTTATGGTAAGCTTGGCATTCTGAGATCGCTGCATTCTGTGGCCTTGAGTCTTGCCACATTTTTGACCAAAAGCAGTGCTGCTCTTACCCGGATAAGTAGAGGACTTTATGTATTCTATGGGTTTTCTCTCCCTGGGTAAGGGTCAGAAGATGTTGGATTCCTGCCTGCAGAAGTCTCTTGTGCAGTTGCAGTGCCAGTGAGAATTTGGAGAGGACTAGGACAAGGAAGCAGGGGCAGACGGGAGCCCCTGACCCTGACAGTTGCCTCGTCCCTGCCCTGTCCCCTGCAGACTTCTCCATGATGACGCCCATCAATGACCTCCACACAGCTGACTCCCTGAACCTGGCCAAGGGGGAGCGGCTCATGCGGTGCAAGATCAGCAGCGTCTACCGCCTCCTGGACCTCTATGGCTGGGCCCAGCTGAGCGACACCTACGTCACGGTGAGGATAGCATCTTGGAGTGGGGTGGGGCACTGCGTTTGGGGCGCCCACAAAATTCAAAGGGAGAACTCCTGACCCTTGGCATGGCCATGGCACCGCTGGTGGCCTTTGGCCAAAATGCGATGAGCCCTTCCAAGTTCTCTAACCGCTGTGGTCACCTGAAATAGATAAGATGAAGAACTGGAAACACTTGGATCCTATTTCTAGGGCTACCCTTAACCATTGGGAGATTTCTCTTGTAGCTCTGTTTCCCCAGCTCCAAATAAAGGCTGAGTCCTCTTCATCTCTCATGGGTTGGGGGGGAGATAAGTGTTCTTGGGAGGAAGATTTGGGTGAGTGGATTCAGGGGAAGAGGGAACTCAAGCAGAGTGTCCTTGGAAATGACCCCTCTCCCTCCTTGCCACCGAGAGCATGTGTTTTTCCTCCAGCTGAGAGTCAGCAAGGAGCAGGACCACTTCCTGATTAGCCCTAAGGGAGTTTCTTGCTGCGAAGTCACAGCATCCAGCCTGGTGAGTAGAGTCTGGCATCTCATTGCCCATTCCTCATTGAAGTGACAGCACCCCCTCTGCTCCTACAGTGATAGGTCATTTCCAGATTAGCCACTGCCGTCCTGTCCCTCATGGAGCTTGTGATCTGGTGGGGCAGAGAAGACATGCACATCAAAACAAACTGAGTGACCAATAGACCAAATGCGAGGTGCAGACAGCAAGCGCAGTAGGAGGGAGGGGAGGGGGAGGATGGACCTGGAGTCCTCTGAGCCTGGGATTGGGCCACAAAGGCTGGGAGTGGGGAGGCCCTCCTGAGTGGGGGAATACATTAGGATGAGAGCCAATGCTTTGTCCCAAAGCAATGCAAGACTCGTCTAGTGCCGGTGTCACTAGAGATAACTTCTGAGACCCCTTTCAGTTTTCCTGCTCCTTTTACACGTGGTAGGAAGAAACTTCCAGAAGTTTTGGTTTCACTCAGGAAAGATTTCTGGGTGGGAGGAGGAAAGCAGTAGAAGGGACTGTCTTAGAGGTAAAAGAGGCCCAATGTTTCTTAGATGTGTGGGCTGCGGCTGCTGTGCCATGCGCCTGAGAGGGGGACACCACCTTGGGGCCTCTGCTGGGCCTGAGACACTCTCAGAGGTTGAGTCCAGGTACTCAGTTAAAAGAGCAGGCTGACAAAGTCACAGAGTATCTGTGCACGGCAGGGCCTCGAGGACTGCCAAGGCCACTTTACAGGCGGAGAGGACACTGGTGCCCAGGAGGGTAAGTGACTTGCACAGGGCCACTCAAGGAAGTCATGGCTGAATCAGACTGGGACCGCAGACACAAGGACAGCACAGGCTCTGTCTTTCAGGCATTCTGCTCGGGTCGGGGGAGACAGGCGAGGTAATCAGCGATTGAGCTCAGAGTGAAGAGTGTTCTGATAGAGACGAGGGAAGCTTGTGGAGCTTGGGGAAGGGCACCGAGCCCAGCAGGTGCTGAAGGCAGTGGATGGGACAAAGGAGGAGCTTCTAGGTTGACACGGTGCTGCAGGAGGGAGTCCTCAGGAGCCCACAGGATAAGCAGACTTAGACCAGGGCAGCAGGAAGAGGCTGGGCAGAGGTGACTGTGTCTTCAGCAGAAATGCAGAGCACGCCAAGCCTAGATGCAGGCCAGATCCCGGTGCACTTAGAGGACAGCGAGTGACCGAGTCTGGTGCATGTATTTGGTATCTGGAGGTGAGGCTGGGAAGGGGACGGGGACCAGATGATAAATGGCGCTGAAGGCCTCGTTAGAGCACTTTGGCTTCATTCTGCTGGACATGCAAGGCAAGTGAGTGATGTGATCAGGTTTTCCGTTGTAGAAACTGCACCCTGACAGCAGTGGGGAGGCAAACTGACTGCAGGACAACTAGTTGGGGCTATTGCTTTAAGCCCAGGAAGGAAACTCTGGGCCAGCAGGCTTAGTGGGCCTGGTGATCAGTTGGGCTGGGGGTGGAGGGTTGAGTCTGAGGAGCTGGTGGGGTGTTCAAGAGAGAAGTTGGTTGGCATTTGGTTATCCTGGGTTTGGAAGACATCTGGCCTAGAGGTACAGGTTTGGGAGTCATGGGCATGACACGTTCAGGGTGTGTGTGTAGAGTTAGGGTTGCTGTGTATGGTTGTATGGCTTGTGCACTGCGGAAGGAGCCTGGCCAGTGAGTGAGATGGGAGAGGGTGAAATCTAACCTGTGCTCCACTCACTAAATGTGTCCTGGCATGGGGCTTGCTTTTTTTTTTTCTGTGTGTGTGTGCTGTAGAAGATTCACCCTAAGCTAAAATCCATTGCCAATCTTCCTCTTTTTTTTCCTTTTTATGTGAGCTGCCGACATAGCATGGCCACTAGTGCACCGAACTCAATCATTAGGTCACCGAGGCTGGCCCACGGGGCTTGTTTTTTGAATTTGCACAATGGCAATGTCCACACACCAAGCCCTGTGCCCCTGAGGCTGTCCTCAAGAGGGGGTACTTGTTTTCTCACTTGTACGAAGCCACCATATGGGATAGTGGCTGTCCTATTAGGCTGTAGAGAGTCTTGAGTGACAACAGATCACACATCCAAGGCTGAGATAAGGAATACACGAGATCCGAGAGACCATCCCAGAGACGGGACTCTGAGCAGGCCACATGTCTGAGGAAGTGGGGGAGCTGGGTTGAAGGGAAACCAGGGGTCAGCATTGGACATTCGCAGGTTTAAGGCACCCAAGGTGGGAGAGTTGCTGCCATTTCCAGGGGTCAGCCACTTTGAAGTCATGTTCATTCTGTAAAATTCACTTAAAATAGAATTTTGTAGGGGGGATTTGTTGAACATCTTACTGATGCTTGTGCATAAGCAAATGGTGTCAGGAGCATGTCCCTTCCCCACACCAGAGTCTGTCTCCTTCCCTGGGTACCGTCCTGTCTGCCTGGGCCTTCTGGGATGGGGGTGGGGGCAGTTTGCAGAACTGCCCTGTGTGCTGCATTCAGGATGTCATGGTGCTGCAGTGTTAAGGGCCAAAGCTATTCTGATTTTTAGAAACTAAAATCTAGCTTGTTAATGCCCAGGAAGACGCGTGGTCAATAAGTTAGGCTAACTACCAGCTGCGGGGAGGTTGCACTGGGGGGCCGAGGGGCGTGCTCCGTAAGAGGGTGTTAGGAGGCACTTGTTTCAGGATTTGGAGGAGGGTCCTAAGAAGGAGATGTTGCCTCGGTTAGTGCACTGTTTTATGAGGGCAGTTTTATGAGGCAGGCGGGAAATGGAGCGAGGGGCTGAAGCTGCCGTTCGTCAAGCAGCAGCAGCAGTGTCTCCTGTTAGCCAGGAGGGGGGGTGTTGGTCATTTTTGTGCTTGCACGGTGTTTTGTCTGTGCTTAGACGTGATTAAGGAGTGGTTTTTTTGTCTTGCTGTGCCATAGTCAAAAGTGACCTTCTCTGATGATGATGATCTGTGAGATTGCTTATGTTAAGCAGGGAACACCATGGCCTGTGTGCCAGGCCAGCCACAGCCACCAGCAATTGTGTGCATACCCACAGGCATGCACACACTCACACATGAGTGTCTGATTTTTAGCCATGACACCTACTAGCTACTTGGAGTCGATAGTGGATTATAAGACCAGGGACTACTTTCCACTTGTCCATTAAGACCTAGCTTTTGGGTGATTGGTACATGGGTGTTCATTATACTATTCTCTTTCCCTTTGTATGTGATGAAAAAGAATTTTCAAAATAAAAAGTAAAAACAAAAGAAAAAGGCTCTGTTTAGATGTTACTTCCCTTAGGAAGCCTTCTCTGATCCCCCTATTTTACTGGGATAAAGACTCCTCCTATCTGCTTCTAGAGAATTCTGTGAATGACTCTCTTCTAGCACCTTGCTACTCAAGGTGTGGTCTTTGGACCAGCAGCATAGGTATTGCTTGGGAACTTGTTAGAAATGCAGACTCTTAGGCTCCACCCCTGACCTACTGAATCAGAATCTGCCTTTTGAGAGGCTCTCCAGGTGATTCTTATGCTCAGTAAAGTTTGAGAAACTCTACTCTAGCATGGTTCATGCTGAGTTATAATCACCTGTGCACCCCATTAGACTGGGTGCTCACTGAGGGCAGGAACCGGGTCTTTTTCCCCCAACACCAGGCACAGACCTAGCTCACAGTGTGGTGGATGAGTGAACGCAGGTGGGTCGGCGTGTGCTGGTCCACCTGGGGAGAGGGGAGTGAGGGGCCTCTGCCTGCCCCGTGGCCATAAGTCTCTCTTCTTCCCTGGCCCAGATCAAGGTGAACATCCTGGGAGAGGTGGTGGAGAAAGGCAGCAGCTGCTTCCCTGTGGACACCACAGGCTTCTGTCTGCACTCGGCCATCTACGCAGCCAGACCCGACGTGCGCTGCATCATCCACCTGCACACGCCGGCCACGGCAGCGGTGAGTGCCAGCCCCGCGGCCAGCACTTCACTCCCTGAGGCCGGCGGCAGACCCAGGGTACCCGTTTCTCCCCGAGGAAAGACATAAGCCCCCCAACTAGTAGCAATCTCATCATTTAAAACAATTCTGGAAAGATTTCCTGGAACTCAGGCCGAGGTGAGGAGAGGGAACACCTGACATGGGAATTCTCATCCTCTCCATTTTTCTAGCTATGGAAGTCTTGGTTTGGAGAGATAAGGTAAGGATGTGTCATGTCTGCCCCACTGCATCCTCCACCCTGTCACATACACTACTGGCACCACTTACCCAGGTGACGGCACCTCCTGAGTTTCTACTCAGGTCAGTTCTGTTGGGCCAGGGGCTGGCATCTGCCCTCCACAGCCCAGCTCTGGCAAGGAGAGATCTTGATTGAAGATAAGATGGTGGGAACCTGGACTTGCCCACTTTTCATAGCCCAGGGTGGGCTGAGAGGTGGTGAAAAGAGCAAGGAAAACTGGAAGAGAGTAGGAGGAAGACCCTCAAGGAGCAGCTTGTCTCCTAAGTGTCTCTGATAATTTCTCCATGTGTACCTAAGGCACTGCAATGTTACTTGGAAAGACAGCAGACAACCAGTTCTGGGTGCTTTCTCAACCTTCAGCCTATATTACTGACCCTCAGGCCACACACCTACAGGGGCAAAGCAGACTTGTCACCGGCCTGTGGTTTTCTCAGCAAAGCATACCAGTTACCAGCACTCAGACCTTCCAGAATTTGGACCAAGACTGGATGATGTATTTGTGACGAGTGTCCATTTCTGCAAAGCCCAGACTTACGTGTGGGGCAAAATGAGTGAAGGAGGGCAAGGGACTCTCCTCAAGCTCTCCACACTCCTTGCTTTTAATAACAGTCAGGGCATGGGGTATGGGGGGTACAACAGGTTTTAGCCCTGTGCCCTGGCACTTATATTGCCCCGTTGCTAGTAAAATGGGGCTTCTCAATGGGCCTCCCTGTTAGTGAGGAGTTGTGGCTGTTTCTGCACTGACCTCAAGGCTGAGGGTCTGCACCAACCCACCCCGGGAGACCCTGGGCCCTGCTTCACCCCAGCCGGATGCCAATTCCACCACCCCTGCCTCTTCCCCGAGTCCTAGGCCAAGAGCAAAGAGGGGGGTGGGCAGCAGCAATAGCTCTCTCGAGTGCATTCTTTGCAGCAGTTTTAGAAGGTGACATACTGACGTGGCTACTGTGAAAACTGTGATGGAAAGATAGTAGAGCGGCCGGCCCCGTGGCGTAGCGGTGAAGTGCGCACGCTCTGCTGCTGGCGGCCCTGGTTCAGATCCCAGGCGCGCACCGACGCACCGCTTCTCCGGCCATGCTGTGGTGGTGTCCCACGTAAAATGGAGGAAGATGGGCATGGATGTTAGCCCAGGGCCAGTCTTCCTCAGCAAAAAGAGGAGGATTGGCGTGGATGTTAGGTCAGGTCCAGTCTTCCTCACAAAAAAAAAAAAAAAAGAAAGAAAGACAGTAGAGGAGCTGCAAGAAAGCAAGACCCAGCCAGGTGGAGCTAGTCCACAGGGAGAGCCTTTCTCGTGTGCTGCTTCCTCCCCACACCAGTCCCCTGAGTAGAACTTGACTGTGCCACTCTGAGGAAGGGACAAACATGGTGACAGAGGGGCTGCGGGAGCTGCAGGTGCTAACCATTTCGTCGTCTCACTAAAGGTGTCAGCCATGAAGTGGGGCCTCCTGCCTGTCTCCCACAATGCCCTGCTGCTGGGGGACATGGCCTATTATGACTTCAACGGTGAAATGGAGCAGGAAGCGGATCGGATCAGCCTGCAGAAGTGCCTTGGACCCACCTGCAAGGTTTGGCTCAGCTGTTTTGGGAAGATGCTCCGGGGTGGGACTGTCAAAAGCTAATGTCACAAGTGACACGTGTTCATTAGACAATGTTTAGGAGTTGCACATAAAACATGAAATAAAATTCTGTCACGCTACCCTGAGATTTTGGTGCGCACTCCAAATATATTCACATATATTTACAAAACTAAGATCATAAAATATATTCTCCTTTTTTCCCTTAGCAATATACAGTAAGCACCTTTGTATGTTATTAAATACTTTCTGTGTCACTATTTTAAATTATTAAGTTATACCTCATTGTATGAATGGCTGTGCCACCGCTTATCTGAACGGTCCTCTATGGTTGGACATTGGAAGGTTTTTCTCCCCCCAAATTTTCTCTTGATATACACAACACTGCGATGAAAATCCTTTCAGCTCAATCTTTGTGTATGCTTGAGATGATTTCCTTAGGATAAATTCCTAGGGATGCATGTTTTAAAACTCTTACTTCATATTGCCAAATTGCCCTTTCTTCCCCTCAACATCTGGTATGTGAGAATGCTGTTTCCCTGTGATCTCTCCAAGCTTGAGTGTTATCACTTTTTTTTTTTTTGCTAACTTGATAGAGAAAAAGAGACTCTCATTATTGTTTGGTTTAAGTCTAAAGACGTGTTCTATAACAGCACATAATTAGGGGTGGTCAGCTTAGTACGAGAAGTTTCTTAGCCCAGCCTGGGTTGATGAACGCTGGCTCCTATCCTCGAAAGGTGCTCACCACCTGAGTCATTTCCCATCTGAGACTCCCTGTCTTCCCATCTCTGACATAGAGGAGAAATCCCTGCCGCTGTCTCCTGACATTCTCTAAAGCCTCATTAGCAGTGCCTGGAGAGGGATGAGATGTTCACATTTATGAAATGCTACAAGAATTTGAGAGAAGAGGCATTTCTTATCTGCAGAATCATTTGTGGGCCAGAGTCATTGTCCCTTTCCATTTCTGTGGCCTTTGAAAGGAAAAGCTCAAGCTGTTTTCAGCAAGAGAGGGTATGATGATTAGGCCACCAGCCCTCAGCCCAGGTCTGCAAGGACAGGTCTGATACATGGATCTGTGTCCCAGCTCCTAGGTGGGCATCCTCTGATTTCAGAGAATTTTTGAGGATAAAACCAACCAAGAGGAGTTTCTGGCACCTGGGCCTTGGAGAGTTAGGCTCTTGGTATAAATTCATTTCTGTGTTTTTCCCCCCTTTTACCTACCTGCCCCTGACTGAGTCAGAAACATAGCACCAACAGTGAGAATACCTGGGTTCTAGTTCTGATTCTGCCCCTAATTAGCTAGGAGACTTTCCATTTCTTTAGGCTTCTATTTTCTCTTCTGTAAAAACAGTGAGTTTGATTAGAAGGTCACTACAACCTCTTTCATAGAACTGTAGGATCTTCGAGCTGCCAGGGCCTCATTGAGTTCATGGAGAGGAAACCTGCGATCCAGAGAGGTGACATGACCACCTGTTTCTGCAGAGCCATCCCTCAGAGAGCCACCCCCTTCGGTTTTGACTCCCAAGTTAACTAAGTCACAGGCGCAAGAGGCTGCTTTTGAGGTTGGACTCTCATATTGGACGTCAACTAATTTCCTTCACTTAGCACAAGCACCAGTTTTTCAGATTTCTAAGCTCTCCAAGGCCTAAAAATCCAGGCATTGCCCAAAGAAATCCACCAAGCTATTTAATCCAGTTTTAAAAAGCATCTTCTATTTCTTAAAGTCACATGTAGGGTAGCATTGGGGTGTTTGTACAGGGAAATAAGCAAGGAGTTGGGGGGGGACTCCAGGATGGGATATGGAAATTGATCTGAATAAAATGAAAAATCTCTCCCTCTTAATTCAATTTTCAAAGGCTGACAGTTTAATTGGCCATTTGCTCCTCTACAGATCCTGGTGCTAAGAAACCATGGAGTGGTTGCTCTAGGTGACACCGTAGAGGAGGCGTTTTATAAGGTCTTCCACCTGCAGGCTGCTTGTGAGATACAGGTGAGCAAGTTCTCTGGGGAGTGGCTCTGATGGGGCCTGTGGGCAAAGGCAGTGGCCCTGTTGGCTGTGATTTGGGGAGTCCTGTGAGCCCAGCCCTCTAAAAGCCTTGTCCTATTTCTCTTGGCTTTTAAAGCCTTGGCACCACCTTATCATTCTAAAGTTTCACACTTAGAATCAGTTTTTTAGCTTTAAAAAACTTATCACCATTGTCTAACAACCAACACCCAACTCTTGGGGGTCAGTGCCCAGGATGGGGAGCTGCCTGGGCTCATCAATTGGACAGCAGGAGAACCCATCATAGGGCATATGAAAGTTCTTACCATGTTCATATATTACCTGGGGTTTGCCTGTTACATCTAGCTATGCCCAACAGACACCACACAGGTAGGTCTTCTTTTCTCTTTCTATTTGGAGAGGGCTAGTTTGCAAAGATCGTGAACCGTGGTCAAGTCCAGAAAGAGGAGTGGAGAGCAGGCCAAAGTGGAGTGTTGACATGGCTGGCCTTAACGCCAGGGAAACCCCAACGTGATGTCCAGGGAGCCCATCATGAAGTTCTAACCAAGGGATAGGGTGAGGGGTGGGTGGGGAGTGTCAGTGATCATGGGGCACCTAGAGGTTTGTGTCCAAATTCAAATCCTACAGCTTTATTAGATAACAAGGTGGTGTTGGATAAGCCAAGCACACGCTGCTTTTGTTCCTTTCAGTGTGGCAAGCCGTCAGGGGTGAGTAGGGGTCCCCAGCTCTGGGCTGTGTGCCCTTGGGTCAGGGACTTGTTCTCCGAGAGCCTCCATTTCCTCAACTGCAGATGTGAGGCCTATAGAGTGCTTGTGAGGACAGGGCCTTGCAGGCAAGGAGAGGTGTTGCTGATGGTCTTTTTAGGACTCAATTGACAGAAGGGGAGGCTAGCAGCTCCAGGATGAGTCAGCTCTTATCCGGGCCCTTTTGGGTCCCGTCTGCCCTCCCCTGGCCGGTCTGGCCAGAGCAGCACCCCGAGGGAGAAGGCCTGCCTTTCTCTTGGGGGAAGAATGGGAGGATCCCAGAGGCATCGCTAGTGGAGGCTCTACAAGTGGTACCTTTCTCAGTGGTTTTTAAAGGAATATGTTGAGAGGACAGTTGTTAAGACAGTGATGAAGAGGGGGTAGAGGAAGTGGTATGAGACTCCCCTCACCAAAAGAAATCAGCAGTGGTCAGAACAGGAGAACATGGAGAAGGTAGAACAGGACCAAAGCGGTGCCTTTCTGATGTGGTGGCCTCCCTACCCCCAACCAGTGATGGTGGCCCTGAGCTCTGACCCCTGAGTGATGTTAGAACCCGGCAGAGCCTCTGATATGCCCACTTTCCCCTCCTCACATCTGAGCTCCTAAGAGCTCCCCATCTTCCTTCTGAAGAAGAGGCTTCCACGAGAAAACAGCTCTTATCTCTTTGCAAAGACAGCAGAGCCCTAAAAATGAGTGGAGAGAGATGCCCATGTATCTCCCCACATGGTGAAGTACACCGCTCCCAAGCTCCAGACCCTCAGAGATGGCCACTGTGCAATTTAACCAAAGGCAGGATGGCCATCTAGCCACTGGGGAGATGAAAGGGCAGAGCTGCCAGCCACTGGCCCTGACAGTCCTCCAGCTGCTTCTCTTGGCCCTGCTTGCTGTCAGTTTCTTTTTAGTCAGGGCTGGTGTGATGTGACCTTGTTCAAGTGCATCAGGATGGAGGCAGTGAACCCTCAGAAAAGCTCCAGTGGCGTTTTTTCAGCTGGTGGAGCAGAGAGGCTTCTAGAGGTGAGAAATGATGCTGGAAGGTGTGGCAGAAAAACAGGCAGGGAAGACCAGAGGTGTGGGTGGTCTAAGGCATGGAAGATCCCAGGTTCCGGCAGTCTGCAGATGCTGTTGGGATTGCGGCCGTGGCTGGGTCATTTCTGGTCAAATGGCCAGCCTGAAGTTCTGCTTCCATCGTGGGCCTAGTTTTCTCCCTTGGTGACACTGGCAAACAAGCAAACATGGCCATGGTCGTTTTAGTGGTTCAAGGCTAAGAGCCTATTCTGTTCTCCTGGGCACAGTGTTCTTTTGCTCCCCATCAGTTTGGGGTTCCAGGAAACTGGGTCATCCCCAGCTGAGAGAGGCAGCTCCCTGCTCTGCTTACAGGCGGATGGGATGAAGCTCAGGCAACTCTTCTCCCTCTGCTACCCATCGCCATGGAAACCCATGGGGGAAGAGGGAAGTGGGAGGAGGCAGCTCTTGCAAGGTCGAGGGCAGTTCTCTCCCCTCCATGAAAGACTAGTTGCTAGGCGATATTGCTCCTCAGCCTTCCATGGTAAAACCTCAGAATTTATTTATTATAAACATTTATATGGCACTCCCTATGCACCAGGTGCTATTCTAAGTGCTTTACAAATGTTACCTTAAATAATCCTCACGAGGTAAGTACTACTATTTTCATTTTACAGATGAGAAAACTGAGGCACAGAGAGTGTAAATAGCTGCCCAAAGTCACACAGCAAGTAAGTGGCAGAGCCAGGATTTAAACCCAGGCAGTCTGGTGCTCAAGTCCATGTCCTTAAACACTACATTGCATTGCCTCTCAGGGCAGTAAGGGTCATTGGGAAAGGTCACCTGACAGACTGGGCCCTCTCCTCAGGGAGCTGGCAGTTCAAGTCAGGGTTTCCGGGTCCCAGGGCTGAAGCCCTGCCTTGGCCAGGTAGGTGTCCAGGATGAACTAGGTAATTGATCAGCCAGCTGGGATTCACTAGTGTTTTAATTTTTATTTTTTTTGGTGAGGAAGGTTAGCCCTGAGCTAACATCTGTTGCCAATCCTCCTCTTTTTGCTGAGGAAGATTGGCCCTGGGCTAACATCTGTGCCCATCTTCCTCTACTTTATATGGGATGCTGCCACAGCATGGCTTTATAAGTGGTGTATAGGTCCGCGCCTGGGATCCGAGCCTGCAAACCCTGGGCCACTGAAGTGGAGCATGCAAATTTAACCACTACACTACTGGGCCTGCCCCATGGGATTCATTACTTTTGCAAATGTGTTCCCGTGCGCTCAGCCTCAGTGCTGGGTGTGAAGCACTTCAGAATTAGAAAACACAGCACCAGAGAGCAGAACTGGGACCAGTGAATGGACTAATAAAAAGGTAGATTGCAACTCAATGTAATCTATATCAACTCACTGTAACCCTCCTAACACTTGGACAACAGCACAATAGGCTGCCTCCCTGAGCGTGGTGCTGACCACCTTCCAGGGATATTGGAGAAGGACTCTTACTTTTGGTGGGAGGATGAAATAAATGACCTCTAAGGTCTCTGTCTTTGCCAGGATGTGGAGTCATCTTTTTAAGATAAAAATGGAGCCTTCAGTTAGACACATGTCTTGGATGAAGAGGGCATGGAAAATGAGTGTTCTTGCTTCCTTGGGAAGGTGGCCTGGCTGACCTCCAAGAAGTTTCATAGGGGCCATTTGTTACACGGTGAATTTAACACACTCCAGGGTGTGTCCCGGATCCTCAGCATTCAAACACATAGACCTGTGTTAGTCAGCAAGCTAAATTGCATCCTTTCGTTTTCAGTAACAAAAAATAAATGTCACAAACCTGGAACACTGAAAGTTTATATAATTGGAGCAATTCCCCCATAATAAGCAGGCTTATGCAGGATATCAAATATTAATCAGAATGCTAGTGTATTGACGTGCAGTGCAAAACCCCTAGCTCACTACCTAGGGTACTTGGAAACCACCGTCTCTCTCTGTAGCTGGACTTACCCAGGAGGCCAAATCATAACCAATCTGAGTGGCAGATACAGGAGTAAATAGAATGTACCATTAGATGAGCATGCAATTAGAAAATAAGGAGATTAGTTAGATTAATGAATGTTTTTCAGGATAGTTCTAAAATTGCCTGCTGTGCACACACACCTCTTGCCCTAATACTCAAAGTCCATTGTCTGTAAGCACCTGTATCATCCCCTCCCCATGGAGCCTTGACAGTGGGACAAGCACTCTAAGTCCATTGGTGACAGGTACCCAAGCCCTACACTGTCCCCACTGTGCACTCTCAGATGTCCTCTGCCTCCTCTCTGGGTTTCCTTGACTGACTAACCCCATCACGGAGGATGCATACTTCCTTTAGACCTGTTAATTCAGCCCATCAGGCTATGCTCATACTTTGTTGGCCTAGAAGCCAGCCTATTTCTTTCAAGTGACTTTTTTTTTTAGTGGGAGATATTTCAAACACATAGAAAAATGCAGAGAATAATATAATATACACCCGCCACCCACCACTCAGATTTAACAAATATTAATAGCCTTTTTGCTTCAGATCTTTTCCTCTTCAAGAAATAAAATATTATAGACAAGAATTGAAGTCCCCTTAGAGCCCTTTCCGATCTCATCCTCCCACCCTCCCCAGAAATAATCACAATTCAAAGTTGGTCTGTATCCCAGGTAACTTTCTAGTCCTCTGTATTGTTTTATTCTTAAGATTTAACACTTGCTTTTTCCTTCTTCTCTATAGTTTCTAAGAACTGACATTAAGAAAGAAACTACTAATATCTCTTTCCCTGGACATGGGTGCATGACCAACAAGTTTGGAGTGGCTTTTCCTCTGGGATGGAAAAGCCAAATGCAGATCAGTTTTCCAAACATTTCTGTTTCTAATCTTTCCTGATCCCCACTCGCACTGTGATCCCCGCTGATCACACACACGAGCATAGGTCAGTGCACAGGTCTATGTGTGTACACACACACACATACACACACACACACACACACATGAGCTGAGGCCTCTCTGCTCTTTGCTGCAGGTGTCCGCTCTGTCCAGCGCCGGGGGAGTGGAGAATCTCATCCTCTTGGAGCAGGAGAAGCACCGACCCCATGAGGTGGGCTCCGTGCAGTGGGCAGGGAGCACTTTCGGGCCCATGCAGAAGAGCAGGCTCGGGGAGCATGAGTTTGAGGCCCTCATGAGGATGCTGGACAACCTGGTGAGTCTCCTGCTGTTGCCCTTCCAGGCCAATCCATTGAGGCTTAGCCCCCAGCACCAGTCAGTACGAGGCATTAGGTAGGCATGAGGACTGCCCACATCATGGTTAAGTTGTTAAAGCCTCGTTGACTGGCAACTTGACTTAGAATTTGTGGTCATTCTAATAGTAGTTGAGTTTTCTTAAACGATGGCCTTTGCCACCCCCTTTGAAGGGCTATGGATGTCATCATACCTGCAGGGTGCTCTTTGGAGAAGGGGTAAGGAGACATTGGTTGGTGGGAGAAGTAGTAATCCAGTAAAAATCAGAACCACAGAGCCTCTCTTATATTGTGGCTTAGTTCACTCCTCTTTTGAAGTTAGTTCTGCCTTTCTTTCTAATTTCATGACTTTGATGCAGAAAACACATAATACCACTAATTTCCTTATTCCTGGTGAGCAGCATTATAACAATATCCTATTGTAATGACTGAATGAATCAGTCATGTAAGGAGTTAACTGGTATGTGTCTAGGAGTGGGCTGATCCTTTAAAGGATACAAAAGAATTTTAAGACATTCTTCCTTCTTCTAGGGGCTAGCAATTTAGTTGATATGAGACATAAACAGGAGACAATTCAAGAACAACAGGAAAGCATGTACTATGAAGAGCTAATTGCAGGAAGAGACTCTAACTTCTTTGATTGTTCAGAGAAGTGAAAGATGAAACCTATCTTTGTAACATTTCTGTATCCGATTCATTTTCCGCCTCCTCACTGCTGCTACCTTGGCCCCTCTTTATTGTGTCTAGGTCACTGAAATAATTAATCCTTTTCTTCTTGCCTCCAGTTCTTCCAAATCATCTCCACTTTATTACTAGACTGACCGTGAGAGTCACTTTACAATGATGAAAGGTACCATCCACAATGAAAATACAACTCCCATTAATATTTGTGTGCTGAGTCATCTATGTTTAATAAAGCACCAGGACCAGATGGTTTCATGTGGGAATTCTTTCAGATCTTTAAGAAACAGGCAATTCTTAGGCTATTTAAACTGTTTCAGAGCAGAATGAATGAAGGACTGCACACCATAACAATTATAACACGATCAGACCAATCTTACTTTGAGTTGATGAAAAATGCTGCATGAAAACTAGCAGATAGTGTCCAGGATAACATTAGAATAATAATACACAATAACCAAGTGAGGGCTCATTCCTAGTATTCAAGGATGGTTTAATATTATAAATCTCTTAAATATATTTCATGATATTAACAAGTCAAAGGTTAAAAACCTTTAGATCATTTTAATAAATATCAAAAGTTATTCGATAAAAATTTAGTATCAATTTATAAAAGAGATAGCTGTTAAGTAGGACAGGATGACACTTATTTAACATGATTAAAATGATTTTTTCTCAAAACAAGAGCCACTATCATGGTAAAACACTAGAAGTATTTCCATTACATTTTGAAATAAAACAATGATTCCTGCTCTCAACACTATTATTTAATATTGTTCTGGAATAATACTGAAACTCAATCCAAAGCAGTGAGGCATAAAAATAAGAAGTATAAAAATTGCAAAAGGAAAAAATTACTATTCTTTATAGATAGTATGGTTATATGCCTTTAAAGTCCAAAAGAATCAACTGGAAAAAATATTATAAATAATGAGTGCATTTTAAAGTGGTCAATTATGAAAATGTGTACAAAAATTAGTAGCTTTTTTTGTATCTTATATAATATAATAATATATTTGAAAATATAGTAATGGGAGAAAATAATCCAATTTGCACATGGAACAAAATCATAAAACATTAAGTGGAACCCTTTTAAACCTTTACAGTTTTCTTTAAAAGAAATGCTCTTGTGTTTCTTTTAAAGAAAACTGTAAAGCTTTACCAATCGACATCAGAGAAAACCTGAAATCAATAAAGAGCTATAATTTATTCTTGGTTAGAAAGCTTTAATAGGGTAAAGAGGTCACTTTCCCAAAATTAGTCGATAAATTCAATGTAATTCTCTCAAAAGTGGGGGAAGGCATAAGGACTTAGCAAAATGTTCTTCCATGTGAAATTCAGAATGGCTAGGAAAATCCTATAAAAAGAGGATTAATTAAGGATGCTTGTCCCACCACGTGGTGGAGCGTGATACAGCTCTAGTAACTAAATGGAGGAACATTAGTGCAGAGAGGACACGCAAATCAATGTGACAGCTTAGAAAACTCAGACATAGATTCCACATAGATGAGACTTTGGCACAGGACAAATGGGCATCTTATAAAGCAGTGGGAAACAGATAGACTACTAGCCATTTGGGAAATAAAACTAAGGTGGATTGCTACCTCACTCTTTTCAACAAGATAAATTCCTGATTTACCAAAATTTAAAGATAAAAAGTAAACTCATATAGGGATTAAAAAACATAGGTTAATATTTTTGATGCTTTTGTGTTGGGGAATACCTTGTCAAGCATGGGAGGAAAGTTGTGAAATCATGATGACAAATATTGACAGATATGATTACATTTAAATTCAAAATGAGCTCTTTTATAAACCACTCCCCCCACTGCAAACAAAGCTAAAAGACAAATTAGGGGGGAAAATATTTGCAACATCAAATATTTTGACAGTCAGAAGATTAATATCCTTAATGTAAAAAGAGATATTACAAATCAATGTGCGAAAGATAAACATCACAACAGAAAAATGAACCGAGAACACAAACAATTTACAAGGGAAAAGATTCAAGTGGCCATTAAATGTAATTAAAAATATCCAGTTTTGGACTGTGGTTTCCAGGGGCAGTGGGGGTGGGGGGTGGGGGGCAGTGGGGGTGGGGGGAGGGGGGTGGGGAGTGGGCACAAGGGGTGAAGGGAGTCATATATATGGTGATGGACAAACAAAAATGTACAACCCAAAATTTCACAATATTAGAAACCATTAAAACATCAATAAAAAAAAAATCCAGTTTTACTAGTAATCCAAAATAGAGCAAGGTCTTCCCCAACACAAGAGCATCGAAAGTATTAATTAAAATTAGAGGATTATATTTTTAACTCATCTGATTGCCAAAGATCTTTTTACAACCTTAACAATATTCAATGTGGGGGAAGGGAGACAAGAATTGGGAACTCAAGCACAACTGGTAAGAGTATAGGTTGGCTAAACATTTTGGGAAGATGGATATAATAAATATCTACAAACTTATAAAAATGTGTACCCTTTGACCCAGTAATTTTCATTCTAGCAATTTATATCAAGGAGAGAATCATTTAATTGCCTAAAGAAAAATGTGTAAAGATATTCATTTCAGGATTGTTTATAATAGTTTGAAAATGACCAAGTGTCCACTCGTATTGGTTATATAAACTATGATATGTCCATTCATTGACATATTATGCAGCTGTTTAAAGACTGCTGTGTGTTTATAGGTTCGATATTGTGAAAAAAATCTCTAACTGCTTGAAAGCACTTATAAAGTGGCTTACGTAGCATTATTTACAATAGCCAAGACATGGAAGCAAGCTAAGTGTCCATCGATGAATGATGAATGAGTGGATAAAGAAAATGTAGTGTATATATATAATGGAATATTACTCAGCCACAAAGAGAAGGAAATCTTGCCATTTGCGACAACATGCATGGACCTTAAGGGCATTATACTAAGTGAAATAAATCAGAGAAAGACAAATACCATAAGATCTCACTTAAATGTGGAATCTAAAAAAACAAAACAAACAAAACAAACAAAACAACCCCCAAAACCCAAACTCAGATACAGAGAATAGATTGGTGGTTGCCGGAGGCAGGGGGCCAGGGAGTGGGAGAAATGGGTGAAGGGAGTCATAAGGTACAAACTTCCAGTTATAAAATAAATAAGTCATGGGGATGTAATGTGCAACATGGTGACTATAGTTAACAAGACTGCATTGTATACTTGAAAGTTGCTAAGAGAAATCTTAAAAGCTCTTATCACAAGAAAAAAAATTTTGTAACTGTGTGGTGATGGATGTTAACTAGATTCATCGTGGTGATAATTTTGCAATATACACAAATATCGAATCGTTATGTTGTACACCTGAAACAAATATTATGTTATCTGTCAATTACATCTCAGTTTTTTAAAAAAGCTGTTTATGTAGTACGGCCCCATTTATTTACTGTTTTATATATAATATATAAATATAATATTACATAATTGTATATTACATATATATTTACATACACGCACACATATATGTATGCTTAGAGAGATGACGGAAAAGATTTTTAGTGGTTGTCTCTGGGGATGAGATTTTGCATAAAACCTTTTTTCTTTATGTTTTCTATATTGCTTAATTTTTCTGCATGGGTCTGTACTTTCTTTATAATCAGAAAAATATCTTAGTGCCACTCTAAAAAACGGAGAAGATAGCAGCACCGAGAATTGCTCCAACAGCTGACGGGATTCCTGATGTGTTCTCACTGAGCAGCAGTCAATTCCGCCTTAGTGGGACATGGTCTCACTTAGGAGACAGGGATGTTCTGGAGTCAGATTTTGGGGTTCCAAGAGGGAAATAGTTAAGAAGCTTCCGAGTTGAGGAAGGGAGTGCTGACTATTCAAGTCAGCTGGGAAGCTTTTAAAAATCCTGTAGCCCAGGCCACATCACCGTCCAACGAAATGGGCAACTCTGAGGTGGGCCCAGGCATCACCATTTTTAAAACTCCCAGGTGATATCAATGTGCAGCCAGGGTTGAGAACCACTGGACCAGAGGAAAAGTCGGAGCTCTGCCTGATCCGCAAGATTCTAGGGATTTTCTCAGCCTTGATCAGAGGGCTTGTTGGGGTGGAGGAAGACAGGAGTTCGGGACCCAAGACAAGGGAACGTTCTGAAATACACCAGAAGAGTGGCAAGGCCCAGGTTATGTTATGGAGATTTAGGTTTAAACTGAAGAGGGCGAAGTGGGTGTGTGGGTGTGTGCTTGTGCATGCAGGCACATACAGACCCTTTTTCCCTCAATAAGTGATTCTATTTTTGTCCTTTTTAGGGTTACAGAACAGGCTACACGTACCGCTACCCCTTTGTTCAAGAGAAAACCAAACACAAAAGTGAGGTGGAGATTCCAGCCACGGTCACCGCCTTCGTGTTTGAGGAGGACGGTACCCCAGTTCCCACCCTGCGGCAGCACGCCCAGAAGCAGCAAAAGGAGAAAACCCGCTGGCTCAACACGCCCAACACCTACCTGCGAGTCAACGTGGCTGACGAGGTCCAGAGGAGCATGGGCAGCCCCCGGCCCAAGACCACAGTAAGGAGGGCAGAGGGGAAGGAGAATGCCCCACTACATTTGTGGATTAAGCAGCTTTAAAAGGGAAACAGAACAAACCTCACCTGGGCCTGCATTAGTGCAGTTTCCCCTTAGAGTTTCCTATTGGGCATCTGGGAGCAGCTGCTCATGCCCACGGAGCCTCTGATTACCTGTTTCTTGCACCTCTGTGCTGAGTTTTTGGGTCCTGAGGGTGGCTGGACCAGGTCACTCCCAGCAGCAGAAAGCCAGGAGCAATTGATTTTTGCTTCTTGCTCCCACATCCAGAGGGGGCTTCTGGGAAATTCAAGGGATAGGTATCCAAGATTTGAAGTACACGTCTGAGGCAAACCCAGGAGTTAGGTGGGATATTCATTTCTATTAAGTTGTCCTCTCCACTCTTCTCTCTCTGACACACACACCCTGAGTCTTAATTTTTCATTAACGTTAAAGGTAGCCTGCAACCAAATAGAATAGCTCTTCATAAAGAAAGAAAAAAAATAAAACAAAAACAACAAGCCCTGCAAATTAACGTCAATGAGTCATCTAATACTGAAGCTCAAGTGGCTGCCTGTCTGTCAAAGCTGGTTACCAAGGTTCTGACACCTACACTTAAGTGTTCTTGATGGCTAGTGACCTGGGGCCTTCCCTGGCAACCCACGTCATTTGTTGCCTTTCTCTGCTCAGGAAGACAGACATCAAAGAGGCCCAAGAGGAGAGAACACGTATGGATAGGCTTGCTGACCTTCCTTGTAGGCCGGTTGGCCCAGATCTCATGGGGTGGACCACTGGGGAGGATGCATGGGCCATATTCCTTTGTCTTACCCACCTGGCCTTGTGTGTGTTCAGTGGATGAAGGCTGACGAGGTGGAGAAATCCAGCAGTGGCATGCCAATCAGGATCGAAAACCCAAACCAATTTGTGCCTCTCTATACTGACCCCCAAGAAGTGGTGGACATGCGGAACAAGGTAAGGGGGTAGCTAATCTCTTCTCCCTCAAGCGTGGGGGGTTCCCCAGCATGCGCCGACTTACCAACATCGCAGATGCCTCTTGGCATGGAAATGGAAAGAAACTACCATTTATTGGCCATATTCTAGGCACTGTGCTACCTGCTGTACTTCTGTGGTCCTATAACCCTCTTACACAGAGAGGTGCTTGCTTTAGATGAGATTTGCCCACAAGTTGAGTTTTACAGATTTTATGCTTTTTGACACATTTTCAAGATTTTAAAATCTTTTACATTTATTTCTCCACCTTTGCTTTACAGTTCACTCCCTTAGATTTCTAATGTTACTTTAAAAACTTAAGTTGTAGCAGACCACCTCCAATAGGTCAGAGATGCTCACAGAACAGTGTTTCAGTGTGTGGTCCAAGGACCCTCTGAAGTGCTTGTTTAAAATGCAGATTCCTGGGTCACCCCACATCCCTCCCCCCAAGAGATTCAGATTTGATAGCTGTGGGGTGGCCCCAGGAATCTGTATTTTAAACAAATTCCTCAGGGGCCTCAGGAATATTAAAATTTGAGAATCTCCCTCAAGGAGCTACTGTGCCTCATTTCACTCTTCACCTCTTACAATCACCCTCTCAGAGTTAATGAGAATCTGGTGTTTTACATCAACTATTCTTTCACTCTGAGACAGACATGGAGCCTGTCTCAGAGTGGACATACCGTGTTAGCAGTAGAGGAGACTGGGTCCGCCACCACTGGAGGACCTTTTTAGACCCAAGTCACAGACCACACTGGACACCAGTATGCCCTGGGAATGCCCCCCTTCAAAACTCCATACTCTGACACTGAACAGCTAGCTCACTCTCCCGCTCCCTTTCCATACAGATTCGAGAACAAAACCGACAAGATGTGAAGTCAGCGGGGCCTCAGTCCCAGCTCCTGGCAAGCGTTATTGCTGAGAAGAGCCGAAGTCCGGTACAGCAGAAGCTGCCCCTGTCTGGAGGGGAAACATGTTTGCCTTCTGCGTCTTCAGTGCCTGGGGCTGGGCAGCAGGACCCCTGAGTCCTCATGCCCACCTTTCCCTGTGATCTTGGGCGCTGTTGCTTTTGCTGCAAAACGGATGCTGTGAGGACCGGGGACGTCTCTAATTGTCCCCTGTGGGCACTGGGTGGGGGAGCAGCAGCCCAACCTGCCCACAGGAGTGATGCCGACTTCCGTGCTTTCCCCATGGAACTCCACTCTGCCCTCTCTTAGTGTCCTGCAAAGTGGGGATCACAGGAGTGTGGCTGGCAGCTCCCAGCCGCTCCAGGCTTGCCTGCCCAGAGCATTTCTGGCCTCTGTGTGTGGATACGGCATCATCAGGCTGTAGCTCTGCAAAGATGCTCATGTGCTCTCAGAGGGGAGGCATGTATATAAGGACTGGATGGTAAGGGGCAGTTAGTTGCCCACGTAAACCCACATAGAGTTAGAAAGTGTAAAGTTGTTTCCATGATAGAACACTTTGTCTAGTGCTTAGCAAAAGGGGTGAAGATCAGAATTCTGGCTCTTTTTAGAAATCATTGCTGCTCATTGCAAAGTAGCAATGGGCATGGTATCTTCCTTAGCAGTGATAAGGGAGGAAATACAGGAACCATTCCTCTCTGCAGAGCAAATTGAGGTGATGTAATGATTTCAGATCAGGTTGCAGCCCACAAGGTGGGTGCCCATTGGCGGGGAACATGTGAAGGTTATGTCATCACACCCACCTCCGCCCTACCTCAACTCAGCCAAGATGAGGAGCACCAAATGTGCCACAGGGTCAAGGATAGAAATACCCCATGATACTGGGGGAGGTGAGAGTTCAATACAGTGAGCAAAATTGTTAAAAACTCTGCCATTTATACTAAGTACTCTTTGGAGTCCTTCTTCTTGGGATCCTGGTCTTAGACTTTTTTTGAACCCAGTGATTCCTTAAGATAGACCCAGTGCTGCCCCTCTTTTGGAAGGAGCCCATGGGCCCATCATCAGAAGACCTGATGGACCAGGGAAAGATGGCCTGGAGTGTGTGGTGTGGGCCAGCTGCTCCAGGCTCACCTCCCCTGGGGTTCACTTTCTTTGGTTCCTCCTCAGCTTCAGAGCACTGCATTCTCAAAGGCCGAGATGAGGGTGCTGAATTAGCAAAAAGGACTGTGGAGTCTGAATTTTAGTCCCTGTCTTGAGCTAGAGGGATCAAAGGATTCCTGAAGCTTACACAAGGCCCAGCTGGTGAGCTCCCCAGAGCCAGGGGCTCTACAGAGGTGATGAAATACAGTGATTTTGCCAGTGTCCCTGCAGGGACCTGCAGTACAGACGGGTTGAAGACCTGAGCTTCAGGACCTGGGCCCCCTTGTAATCTATGACTGTGTGCAAAACAGGACTAAGTCTGGACTGAGAACACTGAAGCCACTGTGTGTCTTGCATGTGACTTACTGCTGTGTGCTGTGGCTTGTGCTGCTGTTGGGGGATGGGGAGGGGCATGGTGGGGAATGGCTGGCATGGAGCTGGTTGAGCCAATGCTTTGCTTGCTGGGTTTTGGCTGACTGACTTTGGGCCGCTGACAGTATTTGCATAGTGACAGCTTGCAAATGTCCACAGGACGGATTGCAATAAAGGTGTGTCTTCCTTCTGCTTGGGAGCATCCTTTGATTTTATTTCCGGGGCAGAGGGTGGACCCTCTGCGTTCATCCAGTCAGTTGCAAAGAATCTGGGTCTGGGGTAAGGTAGCCATGGGGAGGAATGAACAACAACTACCCTGAGGCCCTGAGCTGTTTCCAAGGAGGGGCATGCCACGCTGTCCCTAACAAGACCTGGTAGCCACATGAGTCTGAAAGGAAGCTCAGGCCTGGGCCCCAACTGCGGCGTTCAGAGAGCGACACACACTCTGTGGTTAACTTTCAGTCTACAGAGAGCCAGCTGATGTCCAAGGGCGATGCAGATACCAAAGATGAGACAGAGGAGACAGTGCCCAACCCCTTCAGCCAACTCACTGACCAGGAGTTGGAGGAGTACAAGAAAGAGGTGGAGAGGAAGAAACTAGAACTGGACGGTAAATAACCCCAGGGCACCCCTGGGGATCTCCAGGGTGGCGGAGAGAGCCTGGGGGGCACCCAGAGAGGCAGCAGAGCAACCAGCAATGCTCACCCCTGGTCAGTTGCCCTGGAACCATGTCTTCCCTCTGGCAGGGCCCTCCATCTGGCCTTGGCTTGCTTTCATTTTAAATCTTCATTTGCTTCTCTTTCTCTCTTCTCTGTCGTACTCTCAATTTGACCTTCCTGCCCCGTCACCAAATAATATTCTTATTAGCATCATGCTATTAATCACAATAACACCCCTTATTGCTCAGTGCCCAGCAGTTACACAGTGCCGTCACGACCTCATCTGATCCTCACCTGGGTATAAAGGAGTTAATCCTTGTAGATTGCTTAGCATAGTGCCTGTAAATATGGCTTAGGTCAGTAAACACCACATAAATGTTAGCTTTAATAAGATAATAATTATGACTATTATAATTAATTATCTATCAAATCTTGTATAAACTTCCTAGCCTGGCAATCAAAACTCTCCACCAGCTGACTCCTTTATGTCTTTTTCTTACTCCTTCTTTATTTCAGAATCTTCGGTCAAGCCCATCTCTCCATGTTGACTCCCAAATATTCGTCCTCATGATGGCTTGTATGCCCTCGTTCATGCTGTTGTCTCTTCCGGGCATGGTTTCCGTTTTCCGCTAGCCTGATGGGAAGTTATCTACACTTCAGGCTCCATCTCAAACCCCCCTCCAGCTAGGAAGCCCTCTCTGTCCCTCCCCACTCGCTCCATTGAGCTGTCCCGTCTCTTTGCTTCAAGAGCACCTGAGCTCTGAGACATAGAATTCAGCTCTTGGTTTTGTCCATAGGCTAGGCTTTCATTCCCTCAGGGAAGGGTCTTCTTCCACGACCCTCTCCCCACCCAGAGCCAGCTCTCTTCCTAGGCACAAAGCAGACACTAGAAGAACCGTTGCTGGCTTGCTTGGAGTTCTCATGTGCCAATCAAAAAAGTAGATGTAAAAATAGGGTGCTTTTTATCTCTAGGGATTGTCTGGACTGAACATGTGAATTAGATAAATTAGATAATAAGTGAGCTACATGCAAACAAATCATGGGCAGGAATTCTCCTGCAGTCTTGCCGTCCACATCAGGGGTAACATATTCCATTGGTGGATGTTCTTTGATGGGGGAAACAGAACATGACTCTGACTCCTCCCATTTGCCTCCCCTAGGATGTAGCAGAAATTAAAAAAAGGTTAGTGGAAGCAGCTAACTTCAGCCAAGAGAAATGAAGACCAAGTAGAAGAAAGCACTCTCTCTCTCGCCTGTCTCTCCCCTGATTGACCTCTATCTTGCGGGGGTTTTCTGTATTTTCAGGAGAGAAAGAAACCGCTGCAGAGGAGCCTGGCTCACCTGTAAAGTCTGCACCTGCTTCTCCAGCACAGAGTCCAGTGAAGTCCGAGACGAAGAGCCCCGCGGTCTCTCCCTCCAAGTCTTTAGACGGTGAGTCAAGCTGAGCAGCCTGGGAGGGAGGGAGGGAGGTGCATCTACAGGCTGAGAAAAGGGTCTGTATGGAAGGTGGGGTAGGTGTGCACACTATAGGGACCCTGCCTCTCAACAGGTGTTGCCCCCCTACCCGAAAAGCTTTCCCTCTGCTATTTCTAGGGAATCTGAAATAGGAGTTACCAAATTTAAGCGTGTTTCATTCACAGGCTGTGACAATACACCTTACAATTTAAGCCTGGTCTAAGCACTGATGAAGAAGTTCATGATTCACCCACAGCCTTCTCATGTCTAACTCAGACTAGGTTGGTTGATAGGCCTTTCTAGATGCCCCAGCCCAGTACTCAGACTTTATTGTGCATGGAGATTACCTAGGGATCTTGTGAAAGTGAAGATTCTCATGCAGTAGGTCTGGGGTGGGACCTGAGACTCTGCATTTCCAGCAAGCTCCCAGGTGAGGCTGACGGTGTCATTCTCAACCTTGACTACACACTGGAATCATGTAGAGAGCTTTAAAATTCCTGATGCCTGTCTGGGTCCCACCCTCAGCAGTTCTGAGTTCAATTGTCTGGAGGTGGGAGTGGGGAGAAGTGCAGCCTGGAGTTTTAAGATCTTTCCAGATGAATCTAAAGAAATGTGCAGGGGGCCGGCCCCATGGCTTAGCGGTTAAGTGTGCGCGCTCCGCTACTGGTGGCCCGGGTTCGGATCCTGGGTGTGCACTGACGCACCGCTTCTCCGGCCATGCTGAGGCCACATCCCACGTACAGCAACTAGAAGGATGTGCAACTATGACATACAACTATCT